AATTCTAATAATTATAAATAACAATAAATATAAAAACATGCATTAAAATGAACATTTACTATAAATATTAATGTAAATTTTTTTGCTTTGATGATGTGGACACCCTAGATGGAGAGAGAACTCTCTAATTATATAATAGATTATTGAATGTTTAATTACTTAATCCCAGGGAAAACGTATTAATTCCCCCTCGAAAGTTTTATATCCTCCCGGATAGAGCCGGATAACTAATCTCGTACTATTTCCCCACAGAATGAACATGAAACGCTTATTTCCCCACAGAATGAACATTAAACGTTTATTTCCCCACATAATGAACATTAAACGCTTATTTCACCTCAAATCCATTTAAAGTCGGTTTACTGTAGACCAAGTTTCTCTTAACCAAATGATTAGAAAGCAAAACCGTATTTAACCGTATAGTAAGCGATTACGAAACAGTAAACTAATTTTAAACTCGAAACCCGATTTTCACATGTTTGATTTTAGGAAGATCTGAAAGTCTCCGATCTTTTTAGGATTGATTTGATCAAAGAAACCAAAATTTTCTCAATAACGAAATTACACAAACAAAACAAACTCACATCGATAAAATCCCAGAGGGAAAAACGAAGGAACACCTTTAATTGGTTTAACGAAAGAGAATCTAATAAGCTCCTTAAGCTTTTCCGGCGTATGAGGAATCAAAATTCCGGTAACTTCTTCAAGATTCGGAACCTTAAACAAACCATCCTCCATATCTTTCTCTTCCAAACAAACCTCAGCTTTGTTAAGATCACTCCTGAGCATTCCTTGATGCAAGTAAATCCCATCTGATAAAATCACTCTAAACCTCTCGGTCGTTGTACCTTGAGACTCCGCCTTAACCAATCTCATTTCCGTCACTTGCATAACCGGAATCATGTCTGCTTCGCCCTCCACTTCTCCATCAATTATCTTCTTGATTACTCCAGAAGTCAAATTAATCTCCATCTCGTATATCCTCAATTCAAGCCAATACAATTCCAAACGTTACAAAAACCCAGAAAAAATAGAGATTCGATTGACCCAAAATGATTTCAATCATTACAAACCCATAAATTTCGATAATCAGTAGAACAAGTGGAGATTCGATTGACCCACACACACAACAAAGATTGGATCTTTTAGGGATTAAATCAGAAATTGAGAGATTGGGATTGATGAATCTAGAGAAGAAACCCAAGAGATTTGAGAGAGTTTGGGTTTCATTCACTGTGAGTTTCTGATTGGAGTTGGGGTTGCGGCT